CTCTCTCTCTCTCTCTCTCTCTCTCTCTCTCTCTCTCTCTCTCTCTCTCTCTCTCTCTCTCGTCCGTCCATTCGTCCAGGAGGATTTTCAAATCAGGGAAACTGAAAAGGAACGAAAAAAGTTGTAGCCCTGCCTTAGGCTGCCTATGAAAAGGGAGGAGTGGTTCGGGCGCAAGGAGCTTCTGCAATACCAGGATCCAGTGTGTACAACTGTGTTTCCCCGAATAGAACGTACAGTCATTATAGCTGTATTTGGGGCAACTTTCAGTCTAGCTACAGGGAGACTGACCAAGTCACTATACACTCTATTGGGGGGACGACGGTAGGCATGGATGTGTATTTTGATGCATTTAGTATTGTACTATTTTGTTATGTGCTACATAGCACATACTATATACTATATACTATGTACTACTATTGTTCCATTGAATGATGAACTGGGATGCATACTGCGCATAGGAGGCACTTTTTTGTTTTTTTGTTTTTTTTTTGTTTTTTTGTAACAAACAAAACCATATGGTTGTGGCTCCTTATCCATTCTGGGGAGCATCAGTCCGGTTCCTATCCCCCGGCACGTCAAATGGAATACAATGAGCACTCACTCACACTCCTCCCCCTTATGGTAGGAAGGTCCGAGGGACGGCATTGATTACTTCCGGGAGAGGAAGGATGTATCACCCCTCACCCCTACAGAAGTTAGCCTGTTCTACTTCTGCTCTTTGGTTGCTATACTGATTTCCTCTTTGCTCTGATACTTGTCACTTGTCTACTTGGGCTCTTTTTCCAGACTGTTCCTCTCAGCTCCTTGTCTGTCAGACGCTCCTTACTTGCTGGAACTGCTGGTTCAGTCTTCTGCGGTAGTCTATGCTCAAACCCTGTCAGGCTTTGTTTCAGAGAGTCTTGCACAAGTCTTAAACTGTAGCCAACTTTTTTACTAGTTCGCTCCTGCCTAAGATAGCCTCCATGTCACCCACAACCGAACGAGTAAATATCCATCTCTCTGCAATGTACCCACTTCGCCCCCCCCCCCCCCCCCCCCCCCCCCC